TTCAATCATGAATTGCGGGTGAACGGGACGTCGGAGGTGGGTACCGACAAAGGGAATATGGTAATCCCCGACGAGATCGTACTGATGCTGGAGTCAAAACCTCAAACGTGAATTGCAAGTGAACGGAACGTAGGAAGTGGGCAACAAAGGAAATGTGGTAGCCAGATAAGATCTTACTGATGGTGGGGTCAAAATTTCAAACGTGCAATGCGGGTGAACGGAGTGTCGGGGGCGGGTACCGACAAAGGGAATAATATAATAATAATAATAATAATAATGATTTATTGTCCAACAGATGTTTGTACATCCAATTACAGAACAATTACAGAAATTAAATATGGCATGATTGAAAAATAAACATAATATACTATAAATTGATTATCAAAAAAAATAAAAAAATAAAGAGATATTTAAATGTAAGGAGACATATATATCTACGAAATGACAAACCAATTAAAGATTAATGAAATAGATTAATTACATCTGATAATGAGCAGATATTTAAATCACATTGTGTGCAGTATTGATTACAATTTTGTGACATCAAACACACTGGCGATTTTAACAGCAAGTTCGTTCTGGGTGTCGGATTAAGAAAAACTAACGGATAGCGACTAGTACGAGGCGGAACATGAAAGTTAAATAGGGACAGTACGCTAGGACAATCAATACGGTTATGTAATAGACCATGGGTAAATTTAAGACTATTGCAAATACGTCTTTTCTCCAATGATTGCAGATTAAACCGGCTAAGCAGTTCATCATAGGGACAACCTCTAGCCGGATAGACACCATCTTGCTTAAACGAAACGTACTTCATAAATCTTCTTTGAATTTTCTCAATTGAGATAATGTGGGTCCTATAGATCGGATACCAGATAAGATCACAGTAATCCAATTTGGGCCTTATTAAAACACAATACAAGGACAACAACGTATCAGTATTTTTAAACGGTTTACTATTACGAATTATGAAACCCAATGTTTGTATAGCTGACGCAGAAATAGCTTGAATGTGGTTTGAAAAATTTAACCGTTGATCAAACACTACTCCCAAATCTTTTGCAACGGTCACACGATTAAGAGGAACAGAGTCAATACAATAATCATACTGAATGACATGCTTTCTAGTATAAGACAATATTTTGCATTTACCAATATTTAGATCCAATCTATTATCAGTACACCAATCATGAATAATATTTAATTGTTCTTGCAGGTGAACACAGTGGCTCTCAGAGCCAATCTTCCGAAATATTTTTAAGTCATCCGCAAATAATAGGCACTTACAGGAGAGTACCTTGGTAATGTCGTTAATAAATAGAAGGAACAAGAGGGGTCCTTGAGGCACCCCAGAGGATGCAATAAAGACTTCGGATTTAAAATTATTATAGCATACATACTGTAGACGATTAGATAAGTATGATGTAAAGAGCAGGCTAAGAGAGTCGCTGAATCCAAAACTTCTTATCTTTTTAATAATTAAGTTGTGATCGATAATATCGAAAGCTTTGCGGAAGTCTGTGTATATTACATCAACTTGTCCTTGATCATCTAGTACTCGACTTGCAAATTCCGTGAAACAAATAAGATTCGTTGCTGTGGATCTAGAGCGCATGAAACCATGTTGATCGCTTGAAATGTAGTTTCTAATCATAGGATAAACAAAGTTAAACAAGGTAATTTCAAATATTTTTGAAAAAGTAGAAAGAACGCTTATGGGCCTATAGTTAGATATTTCAGACGCATCGCCAGATTTCAATACAGGACATATTTTTCCTATCTTCCAAACGTCAGGATAACTATGAGTACTAAGTGCCAGATTAAATATAATACACAAAGGATAAATGAAAATATGCTTACAGTCCTTAAGAATGATGGAATTTGGTCATTTCCGGAAGTTTCTTTATTTTTTAACTTTGATATTGCGTCAATGACCATACCTTCTGTTACTCTTTGCAAATGTACGCATGGAATATTGGTGAAGGGCTCATTGGAAACATTTGTATTCTGCGACTGACGATAAACTCTTGAGAAATACAGCTGCAATGCATTAACAATTTCAACTGAAGTAGTAAGAGAATTACCATCATAGTTCATAACACCAGGAATTCTGGAGTAACCCTTTCTGGCTCTTACGAACGACCAAAATTGTTTAGGGTTAGTAATTAATGTATTCTCAACGCTAACAGCATAGTTTTTGTAAGCTTTTTGGATTTGTGACTTAACTAATCTTCTAAGGCGTTTATATTCATTTAAATCATCAAGGCGCTTAAACTTATGGTACTTAGAAAAAAATTTTGATTTAAAACGAATAAGGGTAATAATCTCACCAGTAAACCATTTAGGATAATGGTTTTTACGAGTGCGATGAAGTGGTACAAACTGATCAAATAAGTTGTACAATACATTATAAAACTCCGCGCATGCCTTATTCACATCAGAGTAATATTGTAGGAAAGACCAGTTGACATTAGATAGAGTCGAGTATAAGTTAATAAAATTGGTTTTCCTAAAATTATATGACTTTTTATTCTCATTAACGGGAAACACTGTCCTATGACTCAAGTCTGTGTGGCAAATTATTGATAGTGCTGGATGGTGCGCATCTTCTGACACAAACGGGTTATCATCGTGGATGACTTCACAGTCAAAATCACAAAAAATTAGATCCAAAATGCGTTCATTTCTATTAAGGATATGATTGAATTGTCTTAAATTAAACAAGTTTGAAAAATTACTCAATAAGCTAGATTTGGCGTCAGCAGTACTTGTTGTCATCATGTAGCTAGGTATGTTGAAATCACCTAGAATCAAAAAATGATCAAACTCGCTGCACAACTGTTCAAAAGTTTCGAAAAACACTTCGCAGTCGCCCAGTACAGTATCAGGCGGAATATAAATCACAAACACATTAATTGTCATATTATTAAAACAGCACTTGCATCCAATTATGTCTATACAGGGTACTAAGATGTGTAGAGCAGATGTGTTGATTAACGAAGTGACGATGTTTGCTTTCACCGCAACCATCGCACCACCACCCCACTTTTTATTCGTTATTTCAAATCGTCGATCACACCTATGTATATTATATGTTTGCGAAGCAAACTCCAACGTTGATATTTCCTCAGAGAGTGCAGTTTCCACAATGCCAACAACATCAAAGCTACCTTCAAGGAGTGACGCGTACAGTTCATGTAGTTTCGACCTTAGACCACGGACGTTTTGGAAATAACACGACAATCCATTATAACGCTCACCACTAATATTTATATTGGCATTATCATTTAGTTTTTTGCTTGCTGTACAATTTTAGGCACACCATTTAGATACCGTATGGTTAGATTCAACTCTCCTTTCGATATTCTTTCAGACAACTCATTGCGCAGGATTTTTAAATATTCTCTCTGGGAAGGCGTTTCATCAGCTCCAACCGAAATTTGACTGTTTGATTCTCTGAGTTTACGCTTATTTCTTAAAACTTCGATAGCATCATTCGATGAGTTAAGAATAACTTTTATTGGTCTTGGTTTCCCATCAGTTCTGGGACGACCCAATCGGAAAAGCTTAATATTCTCTAATGGAATATTTACTAGCGTGGAGATAACGCCAGTTACTATGTTTTTATCACTCTCTTTCCTGGAGTCAGCATCACCAGAAGAAGGTTCATCTGCGTTGAATATTATTACATTTGCAGCTCGTCTTTGTCTTTCAGAAATTTCGCTGATAATTTCTTCTTTGGCATGGATGCTAGCATTAGGACTGGGAGTAGTTATCAATTGCCTGAGTGAATCTAGTTCCCTCATAAATAATTCCTTTAAATCATTCAGTGATGAGATAGAGGCGTTTAGAGTATTCGAGCTCTCATCATTAGCTAATTGATGATCGCAAGATAGGCACATATAGTATGAACGAGATCCTTTGGTCAGGATCTGCTGTACTTCGGATCTACTCAACTCAGTACAAGTGGTGTGAAAACCCTTTCTGCATTTATCACATATTATTTCATCCGCTATGGAATATGGTAATTCCCGACGGAATCGTACTGATGGAGTCAAAATTTCAAACTCGACTTGCGGGTGAATGGAACGTCGGAAGTGGGTACTGACAAAGGCAATGTGGTAGCCCCAGGCAAGATCTAAGTGATGCTGGAGTCAAAACTTCAAACCCGAATTGCGGGTGAACGGGACGTCGTAAGTGGGTACCGACAAACGGCATGTGGTAGCCCTGAGAAGATTTTACTGGCTAATAGAATACTGATCTGCTACACAAAAATGCGCTGAAGGCCCTTCGACTCGACTTTGATATTTATTTTTATTTTTCATTCTTCCATTTCAATTAAATAAAATTAGTTGCAAATTTTCTGCAGTATAATAATAATAATAAAAGTCTTCTATATCCGCCATGTCGAGTTCTGAGGGATAAAAATCACGGTTCTTCCGGCAAAATACTCTCTTTTGTTCCGTAGCATATATTCAAATTGATTTGATTTCTTCATCGACTGCAGTTTCTTTTTGTCGAGTCCCTAGACTAGATTTTTCTGCATTTTTCAAGTTTCAGCTAATCAAGGTAATTTGACCGAGCTAAAGCGCAGGAAGTTGGCAACATTCCATCAAATGCATTTCGTGTACATTAGAAATTTTTTTATTCTAAATACGTACGTAACGCAATTCACCTGTTGCTGTTTTAACCCCGAAGTTGTAATATTCGGAGGTTTGTGTATCGGTGCAATGGCGAAATGCGCGGACAATCACTGTTTTAAATAAATTTCGAAATTCGACTTAATGAGCTATTTATACTATAAATCAGTTTAGTAAAAAATTATCGCCGAAAAAATTTTGTAATTTTTTAATCTTGAAACTAAGCGTACTAATTACTGTTAAATCAGAAGGAAGAGCGATCGTGAAGTGGTAGGAGTTTGAGGAGGAACACAAGAATAAGTGAGCACGTGTTGAAAATCGACGCAGCGGTAAACGCCATAGAGCAGACAGTAGTTAGCACATGTGGTGCTGCAGGAAGTTTTGAAAAGTTCCCTCGTCGGCGGCATTCCGTGTTGCGCGGCTTGTACGATCGGTCATCTTCTTGGTCCAGCATATGCATATTGGTAACTTATTACGAATAATGTTCTTTTAGTGCGCGTGTGACTTAGTTTATTTGAACAATGGGCTCCTTTAAAAGCTCAATCCCTAGACTTTTGTGGTTGTATTTAGTTGCCGCCTATTTTATTTTCGTTGTCGCAAATACCGGCTACCAGGTATTAGCCGCTGAGGTACGTATTTCTCACTGCGATTCCTCAAACATTAGATCCTTCCGGCTTCTGTACATCAAATAAACCCGCCACAAAAAATACGCCAATAAATTAAGTTAACATTTAGGAGCACAAAATCAGTTTATTAATAGAATGACCGGTTGTGAAGCTATAGCACTTAGAAGTATTCCAAAGTTTGAACGGTGCAAAGTTTTAATCTAATTTATTATAGGAAGCTTACAATTTTCGATTATAACTGAACAGGTAATACGATATCGAACCCTTTCGTAAATTGTGTTAATTATTAAATTAACCGTAGAACTAAACAAGTGAAACCTGAAAATCCTTTCCAAACGTATGAAATTTGAGATACGTTTAACCGCAAATTATAATAGAGAAAAGGGCGAATACGTTTTTAAACGTAGCGCCACCTCCTTTATTGTAAAAAATTAAACGGGTGCGCAATTATTGGCAGAAGCTTTCCAAACTTCAAAACGAAATGCATTTCTCAATTATTCGCTTAGTCTAACTTACGTGAAGGTAGGAAAAGTTTGAATTGTAAAAAAAAGCTGAGAGGTAATTAAATTGCTAAAACTTACAATTATGGGTAGTCCTGCTTCTATTCATTTTATGTATTTTAAAATAAATTAAACGTTTCGCAAATTAGATTAACAAAGAGGAAAAAAAGTTTTAGTTCGTAAACCAAAATTTGCAAGCGAAATGAAGTCGTATTATATTCTAATGCACCAATTGTATTAAAAAAAAAATGTATTGCGTAATAACCGACATAAAAATTTGGAATTCCTTAAACAAAAATTTCGGAATTGGAGGACGTATGGGAATGAATGTATTGTTCTAAAGAAAATTAAATTCCAATTCGGTCATGTATCTAATGAAAGCTCCTTGAACTTTGCGTTATATTTCCTCGCCGAAATAATTTTAGCCTCTCTAAAAGTAGCGCAAATTTTTATTATAAAGCCTATAAGTAATGATAGCACCCTGTAAACGGTATCAAAGCCCCTAAAGGGAACCGTTTGCTTGTGAAGTAAATGAAATTATTGTTTTTATGTTTTACCTTTATGGGAAAACTAAAGAAAGGTTAATTGTATTCATTGTAGGTAATTGGGATTTACTCTCACCTACCACAGAATGTTGCCGCAGTGTAATGACAAAACAACTCTATTAGGTGTATTTGACGTTAGTAGTGCAGAAATTAACTATAATATAATTCCGAGTCTGCCTTTTGTTTCCATTGTGTTAATGCTTGCATCTTTACCGCATCATAGGAATCCATTTCCCAAATCTCAATAGCAAAAGCATTTTAATTTACACTTTCTGGGTCACAGAATGTTGCTAGTTCATACAGACACATCAAATTTGGGGACTGCTTCTCAAGAGTATAATTAATTGCAAGCTTCACCTTCACTTAAAACTCAAAAATTTAAAATTGATCTATATCATTGAGCTCGTAGGGTTATTTCACAAAATAAAGTGCTCCGCATTACTTCTACATGGGGATGCGACAAAAAACTTGGTCTCCGTAAAATTTTGTATATATAGGGGTTGAAAATAATGAATCCAAAATTAGTTTTTGAAACTTTTTCCGAGACTTTTTCCAAATTGTTTTCATATAAAAAAAGGTGCATTTTGTGGTCCAACTGAAAAATTTGTTCTCCTTTAGCACCCCATTTCAAGACAACACAGAAGAGCAACATACGCCATTTTCCGCCACATTTTTTTAATTGGATGCAATAGTGGGCAATGGTGGTGAATATAAATTCATGCTTTGTAGCGGTACTAATATGATGGACCGACCAATAAAATTAAAGGCAGTAACTGCATATTCCACACCCTCTGAAGTTAGAAATTGCCAACCAACAACAGGGTTTGCATATTTCTTGTGAAGGTAGCAGTAAACATTCAGCAAAATAAAAGTGTACAAAAATATGCAAGTTCGTTAAATGATGATATACGTATATCAATTGCAATGTTTGATGTAATTGGTATCCAAACGTCTCTAATCTGGATGGATGTTTTCACTCTTACTACGTTCACTTAAGTTCGAAAATTATTTAAAAAATATAAAGCTTATGTCTATGTACATAATGGCGTTAATCGCAACATTTGATATATTATTAGTGTCCACAACAATCCACACACTCATAAATAGGATTTATTTTTTCATATGCATATTTTTGCGTTATTGCTAACTTCACGAGAAATATGCACAACCTATTGCTGGCTGGTTTCAGCGCTTTTACATTTCATTTGTGAAGGAATCATAATAAGAGTATATGATAATTACTTCACAAATGGAAAAGTGCATTGAAATTGCCATGGAATGAATGTTCAATATACCCATCTGAAACAACCTTCCAGCAATAGATTGGGCATATTTCTGCAGAACTAACGCAAACTTCGGATTACCTGAAACACCAAAAAGGACAATGGTCCATTGAGTTCACAAAATCAAAAATCCACGTAAAACCATTAATTCCATTCCTCTATGTGTTACGATTGCTGAGAAAAAATTCAAGAAAAGATTTGAAAGAATCACAAATTTGCATATAACATTCTTCTGTACGTTTGTTTATGACTGAACTCTTCCTAAACGGCTGGAAGCGAGGTGGAAGGACTTTGATGAAAAAAATTGTTTTATGTATCTTTGTGTGATTTCGACTCACAATTGGGCTCCATCGGATTGTAGGATTTTTAAAAACTTTTTCGTTGATATCGCACTCTGCCAATTCACTTGCGTCGTAGCGTATCGATATGTTATTTATCATACAGGGTGACAATTTGAAAACTTACCACCCCCCATATCTTAGTAAATAAACGAGATATTTAAAAAAATCAAAATCCGTTTCGGTAATTCGGAGGGGGAATCACAATGACATAGTTGGCGACGCACCCCCTCCAACCCCCTGCGCCCCAGCCACCCCAACTTTTAAATCTTAAATAGTGACCCCCCATGTGTGATACGTCGTTGGAAAGCTCTGAAAAAATGCTTTCCAACCATACCAAATAGCATTACATTTAGGTTAGTAATTATCGTGCAAATCAAAAAATAAACTAATATGATACATTTGAAATCTGTCGTATTTAAAACGCAACCGGCGAACATAGACGAACTAAGACAGAGAATAATTCAAGAATGTCGAAATATTGCAAAACCAACATTTGAAAAGGTTCGACAAGAGTTTGAGAATAGATTATAACTGGCGATCAAAAATGAGTTGCTGTCAAGTCGGCTTTGGAAGTTCAAGTTAAATACGATTTTCCATGTTTATTTTTTTATTTGCACGATAATTACTAACCTAAATGTAATGCTATTTGGTATGGTTGGAAAGCATTTTTTCAGAGCTTTCCAACGACGTATCACACATGGGGGGTCACTATTTAAGATTTAAAAGTTGGGGTGGCTGGGGCACAGGGGGTGTGAGGGGGTGCGTCGCCAACTATGTCATTGTGATTCCCCCTCCGAATTACCGAAACGGATTTTGATTTTTTTAAATATCTCGTTTATTTACTAAGATATGAGGGGTGGTAAGTTTTCAAATTGTCACCCTGTATATCCGTCAATATCGAGCGTACAAAGTCGCGGGGGAAAATCTAGTAATTGTATAAAATGTTATGGTGCACAGATTCAAAAAAATGTCACAAAATATTATAACGCCAGGCTCAAGATCGGCAAGGTTTTTCTCAGGATAAAAATGTTAAACAACAGAACAATCTCAAACACGTATTTTTGTGCGTTCATATTCTGCAGACTCAAGATTTTCCACGGAATCCAATTTTTTTGAAAAACAGGTAAATCTTGTAATTCGCCCAATGCAGATTTAAGATCTTCTAGATTCTTTAATATGAATTTCAATACAGTTTCTTCTAAACTAACCATTTTCCAGGCTTCCTCCTCGGTGTCAAAATTTCAATAATTCAGACGAATACGAAAAATGTTAATGCAATGTCTTCATTCTGTTCAAATTCTAGCATAGGAGTTGCTTAACTTTCGTTATTGTAAGTTACAGCGACAAATAATGAAAACAATGAAAAAATAAAAAGGTTTCACCTTAAGGCGAATTTTTCATTACCAGAAGCATCCATGGTTAAAATCTCAAAGGAATTTCTAATACAGTTGGCGTTACCGACGGCATTACACAGTATTAGCATGCGCACGTCTGATTTTTTCTATATGCGATAGGTTTATTTTAGAGATAAATTGCTCCATTTTTATTGTTGGAACTCGATGGATGATGGTAGATAAAAAACAACATTAATTATAAATTATCTACCATCATCCAGCGATAGGTTTACTTTCACTAAAAGCGTCTGTGTTCACAATTTCAAAAAATATCTATAAATAAAAAGTTTGTACCTATTGCGAAGTCTGCGCATGCGCACATCTGCCTTTTACTATACGACCATATTAAAATTTCAACAAAATATATTAATAAATAAGAATGTTGATATTGCGCAGCCTGAGGATGTGCACATTAATCGTCAAGATTTTTCTTGGCTCAGATGCCGGAACTATAAGCTACCGAATTCAAAAGGAACGAACTTTACATATTGAAAACTTCACGAGTAGTTGCAGCCTCGGATGGACGGACGGATGGAGAAAGAGGCCGTTATCGCCTAACAACATGTGTAGCAAAATGCGCTAAAAAATGGATTGCAGGACCTTCACTATCTGTAGATTCAAGATTTTTAAGATTCCTTGTCAAAATGTTCAAAAACAGAGAAATAAAAAAACGTTATATTCCAGGGTTGTTCATTTACAGATTCAATATTTTCAAGGTTCTACCACTGAAACAAACTTTAAAAAAAAATGTTAATTTTGTCCAACGACAAAAACTGTGAAAAAATTTTCATTGCAGTTTACCTCCTATCTGCAGACGTAACATGTTGTAGGATCCTCAGTGCCAGATATTTCAAAAACAGAAGAATGAAGTGGAAAAATTGTTTTTCCATCTTGTGGTCGATGGAAAACTCGTTGAAGGTCGTCTTGTGAATACAAATAA